GTATAAACAGCAGCAGTATTTTGTAAATCTATTCTTTGACAAACAGGAAGCCAGTGTAAAGACTTCAGAGCAGGAGCGATGTGATCCACTCTCTTAGTGTCAGTGAGGACTCGAGCAGCAGCGTTCTGAATCAGCTGCAGCTTTCTAATAGATGTTTTAGTGAGACCTGTGAAGACACCATTACAGTAATCCAGTCTACTGAAGATAAAAGCATGGACACTGTGGCTGCGGAGTGTGGTTAGGGCGGCGGCTGCTGGAGTGAAGGGGAGTGGCTCGGCCGGAGGCCAGACAGCTGATCGGAATCAGGTAATCAGTGCTGGAATTAAAGCATGTCGTAACCTGGTTCTGGTCTGTTGTGCAGTAGGCGGGATCCTGGAAGGTCGCCAGAGGACCTGTGAAGGTTCCCACACGGGCAACGTTTGAGATCCGTGTATATTTTTGTTTGGAGCTAATAAACGCCTGTGATCAACCAACCTGCTCTTTCCGTCCCTATTTGAACCCTGTGTGAGCGGAGAGGCTCACAGACACGTTTTTCCAAATCCTGCTGTGACATTAGTCTTTTAATCCTAGATATGTTAGATATGGTTCAACCTAATTCCAGTGTTATTCTTACGGCCCGTCCACACGGCGGCGTGCGTCGAAGCTTCAACGCTTCTGCGCATTGACTTTGAATGGGGTGACGTCACGCTTTGCCGAACTGCATTGTGGTTCCGTTGCTTCGCTTTGTTCGCGTTGCGCGCGTTGCTCGCTTCAAAAGTTGAGCAATGTTCTACTTTTGAAGCTTCGACGGAAGCGTCAGCCAATCAAATCATATGCCATTACAAGCTCTAGCCAATCAAACCGCGTGCTTGTGTGTCCGGGGCGGGAGATTCATGTGATTGGTTGTTGGTCGAGTTTCAGACACGCCCACCGGCAAGCTTCAACGCACGCCGCCGTGTGGACGCTGCGTTAAAGAAGCAAATCTTTAATATATATATTATAATGCATGATTTTATGCTGTTTTTAATTAGTTTTATTCCTTTAGGGTCTTAGTGTCTGTATTTTGTCTAAACATTTTATCATAAACTTACTTTAGAAGGTTAGGTTTCAAAATCTAGAAAAAATTAACTACGCTTTACGAACACGGCCAAAATGATTAAAACATTTATAATTAAATAGCCAGACTCGTCCCTAGCGAGGCACAAGGGTTTACCGCACTGCATGTTTAATTAACAACTCTAATTGCGCCTGAATGTCTTCATAATTAATTTTAAAAAACACCGTCTCCTCACCTTGTTGAGCAGGTAGGTGAGCGCCTCCGTCATGCAGTCGTGTCTCATGTAGAAGCTGACGAGCGCCAGGTGAGTCCCGAAGGTGTTCAGGTAGAAGAGACACTCCTGCTGCCGGACGCCCTGCAGAGGAGCCTCGCTGCGATCAGAAGGACCCGAAGACTCACTCAGAGCCTGCTCCAGATCCCTGAGGGACGCCAGGATGTCCTCACCTGGAGACTATACAGTTGCATGAATCAGCTAAGCACGTATTTTCGGCATATGCATGGTCTCCAATGTAGGATTTCTTTGCTAAAAAAATGAGACTCCTCCCCCTTACCGAGTTCAGATTGAGCTGCACGGTGTTCTCCAGGTGCTGCACCACCTCCTGCAGCAGCAAGGGCCCCAAGTTCAGCTGGTTCCGGTCCAGAGGGGCCTTCAGGAAGCGGGAAAACTTCTCCCTGGCTCCAGAGAGGTTTCCTGCCTTCAGACAGGCCATCCCCCACGCCTGCCACACACCCCCCGTCTCCAGACCACTCTTTGTAGACACCTAGGATAACAGATAAACAACCAGGAAAAGAAAATAGATATCAATAAGATGTCTTTCACTTAAGTGTATTACCTAAGACAGTGGTTCTCAAATGGGGGTACGTGGACCCCTATGGGTACGTTGGAGTACTGCAGGGGGTACGTGAGATTTATTTGATGTTAATGAAAAAAAATATATATATAAATATACCAATTTTAGGAAAAGTAAGGAAGTTTGAGCAGTGTGGGTTTCATATTAATAGGCTAGAGTTTCACATAGTTCAAAAAAAGAAGTGTAATAACAGCAGTTGCCTCCCTGTCAGAAGGACAAAGATCCTTAGTGAAGCTCAAGCCCATGTTTCTCACTACATTGTAAGTACAACTTATTAAAAAGATCAGTTCAATGCAACTAATGTCATCTTAGTGTTATTGCATAATGTTAAAATTGGTTGGCCATGAATTTAGTGATGGATTGTAAACATTTGAAATGTAGCATTTAAGTGTTTCTCACTAAATAAATCAGACACTGATGGTGCAAGGCTGTACTGTAGGCTTTTTTCCCCCTAACAAATAGTTTTTGCGCTGATCAGGGGGTACTTGGCTGAATAGTTTTTTCAAAGGGGGTACATTATTGAAAAAAGTTTGAGAATCACTGACCTAAGAGACCAAGATATTTAGGGACATTTAGCATATTCATACAGCAACAATGAAAACACATTAGCACAACATTCTGCTAACACCAATCTGATTACGTCTCTTTTTTATGTAACTGTTGGAAGCTGTAAGGGAATAAAGTCCTTGAATAAATGTGCTTTCCAACAAAGTGTCAGACAAAGGGGGAGGTGCCTTATGCAAGTTTTCAAAGTCACAAGCGTCTCGTCTTACACCCAGACGTTATGCAACTCAAACAATCCCCCGAGCACATTCCTGTGTCATAACTGTATGTGATATACAGTCGACTACATGTCTGGCTGTTCAGCGTTGGTACATCCTGTTCAGCACACCTGTGTAATGTTCAGCGTCATGTGCCAGGTATTTTAGTACAGTGTCTCCTCGAAGCTATTTAGAGAGAAACATATATTTGAAATCCTCAGAAGTTTCACCATCAAATACTGCTGTACTGTAGGATCAAGTGTGTGAGTATGTTGAGCATTCAGGAGATTTAAAGAGGCCTTATTCTGCTTTTTGGGGTTTTCCAGTTCCTCTAGTGTGTCTTTAGGTTTGTGTGCATGTCAACGGTCTGCAAAGACTACAATCCCTGTGTTTCCTCCAGAGGGAAGTCATTGTTTACTTCAGAAACAGGGACATCACTATGGATCACCTGCGCTTCTATTGGCTAGTGCTCCAACACATTGTACGTGATAGGCCAAGTGGCGGGACATCTCTAATGGCGCATTACCACTGCAGCGCGTAGCACGGTTTGAGCGTGCCGTGCCTAACCCGGCCCGTTTTTGGTTGCGTTTCCACTTGGCGTAGTTCCGGCTAGCGGGTACTTTTTCACAGTTTTCTGGCTCTCCAAAATCGAGGTTCTTTCCGGGCCAATAACCGGGCTGAGTATGCTAAACTAGAGAGAGAATCGCTGGCAACTACAACAAGATGAACATATTTGACCGTGATTTAATTGTAATACACGTTTCAAAATGATGCCGAAGTAACAACATACTGATACCGGTTAGTAAAAACCATGAATTAATGCTTTGACAAGTCTGCAGACAGACGGCAGGCGAAACACCTTTTAAAATGCGTGTTTTCTGAATGGAGATCGGCTAAGCTAACGCAGTATATGCTCCGACCGTCCACACTCACAACAACGGCCTACAGACATAAATAAACCAATGACTGTATTCTCCATGACACAGACAGTCTGTGGTTTGTACTTGTTTCACTTGTGTCTAGTTTCTGAACAGATATGAGGAGCTGTGAGCTCTGAGGGCTAACAGCTAACGGCTGATGTTGGTTTTGTGGTTCACATTGAAGATGACGTCACGGCTCCGCCTACACTGCGTTACTATAGTTACTGCCCCAGTTCTAAACTGTATTGGAAACGCAGGATAAAGTGAGCCTGGCCTAACAAGGCCTAACTAAGCCGTGTGAGGCCCTGCAGTGGAAATGCGCCATTAGTACTTAAATACTAAGGAGCCCTATAAGCAACCTTCAACACTGAGGACTCTTAAATAATGAGGACCCTTAAATACCAAGAAACCTTAAATACTGAGCAATCTTAAATACTAAGGAACTCTTAGATCCTAATCTTCAATATTTAGGAACCTCAAATACAGAGGTACTTTAAATACAGAGGAGCCTTAAATACTGAGGAACCTCAGATCTTAAGGAACCTTCGATAATTAGGAACCTTACTGTGGACCCTTAGATACTGAGAACCACTCAATTCTGAGGAACCTTAGACACAGAACATGATTCTGCTCTTTAACTTTGTTTATGGCGGAAGAACCTTCTTACACCTTAAAATATATTTATTCCTTCCATTTG